AGTTGGTGGAGGTTGCATTTACTATCTTGTATATGCCTCTTAAATAAATATACAAAATAATAATATTAGTTAACAAAATACTTTTAAGAATTCTTGGATTTATTTTTAGGAAGATAATGAAGCAAAGATTGCAAAAATTAATGAAGTCGAAGGAGAACTGAAATTAGTTAAGGAGGAGTTAACGGAACAACTTAATGAAGCAAAAGCAACATTGAGAACTCAACAAAATGAACGAGAACAGGAACACATTGACCATGCTGTAATGCTACGAGAACTTCAGACTCTTCTAGCGCAAGAAAGAACAGAGAAGGAACGACTGGAACATTTAGTAAGCACTTTTACCGTGAATTGTATAAAAATTAAATTGGAAAATAATATTTTTATATATTTTGTATAAAGAAATCCCTCCATTGGTAGCATATATTTTCATACATACATTTAAAATGAATATATTATGTTCTGGTGGTAGATGCCTCTCTTTGTTTTTGTTTTAATAAAATTATATGTGTAAATAATTGTATACAAAAACGTAATGCAATAATAGCATATGGAATAATATTGTATATTTTCGGAAATATTTCAGCCGCTCCAAATCTCTTTCCTATTCTTCCTTTATTTTTCACAATTTTACGTTTTATTCATATTTTCCATAATATAAATGTTATACACTCACATGATATAGTCACTCGTTTAGGCCTAGGCTAGACCCCGGCTATGCCTATTACTATATTATTTAAAATGTACAATTTAATAGAAAAGATTAACTTTACATGGACATAGGAATTCATACTTAAACAGTACATTAAATTTAAATGTATATATGATGACGTTAACAAATAACTAACAATAATTTAAACGTGTACATAGTATCACTACTACAATAATAAGATTAATATTTTTCAATTTTATAATCAATTTTATATAGTCGGAGTTAGTTTCGACCTAGGCAAACCTTTGCTAAAAAGGTACACTTTCTCCATCAAAAGGCTTCTATGATTGAAATGACCTGTTCGAAGCACGAACTCCTGTAGACCAAACCCAGTACCGTTACAATTTTTAATCGTACGGGAAATCCACTCACAATACATCAAGTAAATTTAATGGGTTCAGACACGCCAGATGTATACATTGCAACTCCAGTATTAAGTACTATTTAAGAAGACTTGGTTCTACCAACCTAACCCCGGGCAAGCAGCATCTCTAACTAGCGCCGATGTTAAGGCTTTAGTTGATGGTTGCCTGCCTTACCATACCTCCACTCAACTCGCCGAAGCTGTAACAATAAATAGGCCACATAGTTCGTCTGTTCATTTGTTTGAATCCATAATCGCAGGAGCTACAGGTGTTAATGTAGCTTCCTTTAGTGAATAATCACAAATAGTGGATTGTAGTTGCTGTTGGAACAGTCGTAGCAGGGTCACCACGTGCAGGTTAACAGCATGACCCCTACATAGTGAATATATTTGAAAAAATTTGATGGTAGAGTACAAGACATTGTAAAAAAAAAAAAACCTGATTTAATCAATGTTTGTTACGCATTTTAGGTTGATGATTTGCAGGAAGAAGCAAAAAGGCAAAGTGCTGCACCAAACAGGTAAGCTGAACTGTGTATGTACTGTAATGTAATGTAGATTATAAAGTTTTTTGTAACAAAGCATTTAAGGTGTGGAGAGCTTGTACAATAACTTGCTTCTCTTCATGTCTGAGCCACCCGGGAAACCAGTACCAGCTGTCGCTCATCTGTCCACAGCAGGGGCTGTATGAAACACTACAACGGAGTACAGTAGAACCCCTCATTTACGAACCCCGCTTTTACGAATTCCCGATTTTACAAACGTAATATAAAGGTAATGACGTCATAAAAATTGAAGCGAAAGATTAAAAAAAAAAAAAAAACCCGCTCGAATTGTACCTGTTATTACCATGCATACAACACAACACACCATACTATACAGTACTATGTAATTCTCAAGTGAAGGAGGCCCTCTAACGGACCTCTTCAAAGTGAGTGTTTTTTATGGCTTCACACATGTGTATGCGACAAATTTTACTTCTCTTTCAAATATCGTTTTCAGCTTTAAAATTCAACATAGTGCTTGATTGTTTTATTGAATGATCAATATATATAATAAACAAGTATCTATGGAAGTTGTGTTGGAATAAAATCCACGATCTAGGTATTTAAGAAGGTAAAAATGTCTGATAAAAACGAATTTGTGCAGGGCCTAGATCTAGATCAGAATGCTTAGAAGCTGCCAACTGTAGGCCTAGGCCCCCTCAGACTTAGCTGCGTAAGCCTGTAGGCCTAGCCTAGGCCTAGTTTATGCCAGTGTAAGTAGTATCAGTGCAAATATATAGGAATTTGGGTCAACCCCGATTTTACGAATACCTGAGTCTACGAACGGCTCTGGGCCCGTGCGGTACGTAACATTTGAATAGAAAAATTGTTCCACCACCAGAACCATTAGGTGAGCTCTTTGAACGCCGATATTATGGCTGTATGTTGCAGCACCCCTCACTTAACCGCTCAACCATTCGACTCTCAACATACTATATGACCTTATCATTGGTCATTTCAATTTAATTCAAAAATATCGTTTATTCACTTGAGGAAAAATATAAAAATTACTTATCAAAACTAATCAATACATGTCTATCAATAGGCCTACTTATCAGTATTTCAGTACTTATCAATATTTATCAGTACGCATTATAATACTGTACTTACAATCTTCAGAACATTTCAATACACTACAGACATGTTGATAATTATTTGTACTTATAAATATTTATATTAATATACTTATTGTCAGTAATGTTCAGTATTCATCAGTACATGTCAATACTTATTGATCTGCAATTATTATTACTTATCAACTATCATATCCGCGTCGCCGAAAAGTCAAACAAGAGTTCCGTTCCGGCCGCCTTGTTAAGTTCCTTGATGAGCTTTTTCTGTATAGGTCTGTTTTATGCTATCTGAGCATTTTAAATTTTTAGTTGTACTTATCAATACTTTACAATATTATATTTCAATACTGATATTAAATACAGGGTTAATGAATATGAAAAGACAGTGAAACGTTTATCTGATGAACTTGGTGCTGTTCGTGCTAAGCTAAGGGACACAGAACTTAAGTCTTCCAAACCGTCACCTATGCTTCTACACCTACAGAGAGAAATGGCAGAAATGAAGGTAGAGCCAAATTCTCATGTTACTTTAATTTTAATATTTTGTCGCATCGCAAGAAATCTTTGTAGATGTAGCTCTATATATACCTGCTTAAGGGGGTTGATGGATGCCTCCCTCAAGAAACCATCCCCCTCAGTCACCCTCATCCCACCACTAAAAATTTACTTCAAGTAGTTAAAAATTATTCAAATCCCTTCAGTTTACATTTGCACCCCACCAGCCACCCCCTATGTCAATGCTACTAGAAACTCCACTGCCTCGTATAAGCATGCCTTAGTAGATAGTGGTAGATTCCTTACCATTGTAGATATTTTGTATATTTTAAATAGGTCTTTGTTGTCTTTTTGCTTAACTGCTATATCGCCAGAGTATTATAGCTTAACTCGGGTAGCGCTGGACTTTGGAGATCCTTACAGTCTTTTGGGCCCTGGTTCTAAAGGCCTGAAATGCAAGTTACAACATCACACCATCTTTCAGTCTCATATAGGAACTTGTGCATGTTAAAGAGTGTAGATATTTTTCAAATTGCCTCCTGGTGTGTACTGCTCAAATTTTGGAAATATGTGTACCAACAGAAAAGACAAGAAACATTTTTTAAAATACCAGGAGTACTTTGTTCAAATAATTTTCTAATTATTTCTGACTTAATAGGCTCAGCACAGAATGCAAGTGGAATTGGAACAGCAGAAATCAAAGGAGGCAGAAGAACAAGCGAGGGTCACAGCATCAACGGAGGAACAGCGGGTAGCTGGATTGGAGGCTAAGCTCTCCGAATTATCTGATGTTGTTGGTAACTATTCCAGAGTTCGACAACAGGACCAACTAGCCATACAGTAAGCATTTGCTTTAAAGTGGATTCCA